GCTAGGTTTGGGAATCAAGCCACACAGTCAGCCCTTTGGGATCCAGCTGCCTTCACCACCATATCACTTGGGTGGTCTTCTATTATTATTTTTAACGCCATTAAAGCACGCTTCACTGGTCCTTCATACCCAAAGAGAAAACTCTGGGAGTCTGGGACTTTCTTGGTTATCATGGCTTCAGAAGCCAGAATATATTGGAAGCACTGGGGATTAGGGGTACAGGCTTCAGCATGAAGCTGTCATTGAAGGAATTTCCATAATATGCTGCAGTGGGCTTCACTTGGTTTCCCAGCCCTTCATCTCAGAGAAAGACGAAATCAATTTGATAAGGTGTATGCACTTGTCAAAATGTTTATTTGCCATTCACACTAGTTGTAATATTGGATTTACAGAAGAAACCATGGTACAAAGAAAGTAAGGCTCCAATGGCTCCTGAGCAGCAGCAGTCCAGCTGCCCTGCACGGATGGGGCATGATAAAATGCTGCCAGAAGAGAGGAGGTGGCCCATCCTGACTATGTACAGTGGGCTGCATACAGTGGAGGGCCTGCTCCCCTGAGCTATCTAGAAACACCGTGGATAGGAAGTTCTAGGGAAATCCTCTTATATCTTATCTGGTTTAAAACCTGAGGTTGACACTTTTCCTTCAGGAAATGTTCAATATATCCATACCAGAAAGAAAGAAACCTGCATATGAATTTCCAGGATGCTTTGTGATCAGATCAAATAATTACCACAGAAATAAACACTTGGTGGGGGCTTGTTTAGGTAAGACTACATTTCCCATTATTTTTTCAATAGATGTGTTATACTGTTGTTTCAATTTGGAAGTTTATTTTTTTTTCATTGATTTTTATACATCCAGAATAACAGAAATAACCAACAGTTCTTTTTGGTTTTTGCACATTGATTTCCCCTAGAACTTTAAAAAGTGAACTTAAAAAAAAAATTGGAACCATGCTATTGGCTGTTTACAAAAGTGAGTAAGAAGTAGCTTTTTTAAATGTCTAAAATAAACAAAGTAGAAAGAAGCATTTTTCTACAGTATTTAGCAAACATAAGAAAAAGTCTTTAGAAACACACACACAAAAAATGAAAAAAGTTATTACAGCATTAACGATATTTTATAACGAAGCTTAAAATCTATTTACATACATAAATACAATTAACTTTGTTGATGCAACTCTCTGGAAGAAAAAATAAAAGCCAAATGATCAGCCTCATCAATTCTGATCTGGCTAAAGGGAAGGGAAAAAAATTCCCAACCATCAAGCAAACAAAAAACCCCAAATAAATGTATATTCTAGGGTAAACAAAAAGGCATTATGTTCAGGTGTAAAACATGTTTTCTGAGATTATTGTCAAATCAATTTTTTATATATAAAACATCCTAAACATGTCATGCCCCCAAAAAGCAAAACTCACCAAATCTGAAAATCACCAGGGTGGAATGTCCCAAGGAAACAGGTATTTCAAGATAGGAAATCTGCAGTCCTGAATTGCAGGACATGTGAGTGAAACCATTCATTTCCCTTCTAATCAGAGAATTTCTGTTTATCTACACAGAAACTCTAGGCAGCAGAAACACTATTTATTCACTGATCGTAATTTGCCCCAGAAAGTTTCTATTGTTGGACAGCAAGCAGATCCAAAATGGTTGGAAATGTCTGTTTTATGGAAGATACCGATAAACAGGAGAAAAGCTGACTCACCATGTTCCTTATGTAAAGGGATAAGAATCAGATCTCCTTGTGGTCTGGCTATTTGGTATCATGGTGGGGGTGTATACTAGATCCTTAGAGAAAATAGGAGAACATAAGGATAAGGTGGAATTTGAGGGAGGGAGGAAAAGAGAAAAAGAGGGACATACTGGGGACAGAAAGAGAAATGTATTTTTAAGTACATCTAAAAATATATTTAGAGAAAAACAAAAAGAACTAAAATATGTGTTCATGTCAAAATCATAAATAAGAACACAAATAAACAGTAGAAATGGCTTATAAAATCTTTCTTTTCTTGGACCAATGCTCTCAGATACATCCAGTTATTAACATGATTGGCTTAAGGGTCTTGCTGCTAGTTTACCTGAAGGCAAAGAATAATAAGACACTTTAATTTACCAGAAGGTAAGGAATGTAATTCCTCAAGGGGGAAAAAAAGCATTATGTGAGACCTATCTGCAAAGCAACTAAGTTTTTTTTTTTTTTTTCTGAAATGATTAAATATGCAGATAAGGGTCTGTGATGCTCTGAATGGCCAAACCAATGAGTCTACAACAAAGAAACAAGCCCACTCATCTAGGGCTTTGAGAGTGAAGGTTCAATGTGAGAAATGATCTGATTGCCCTCAGAGGGCATTAGGCTGGTTTTGAGTAGGAATAACTTCAGGTACCAAATTTGAACTTACAAATACATCTTTTTCTTCATTTTCTCCAACATTTTCTCTGGTCAGATATAGTAATATATGCTTGAAAAAAAATTTCAGTCTAATTTGAGGAAAGTGGGCTAATGGTCTTTTTCAGTAATTCAATTTTTTATTTTTTGGAGATTTGATGGTAATTTACCAGCAAATGTCATATGGACTAACATATAAAACTGAATTGTGTAGGGAGTTATGTCTAAAATGAAAATGAATATATTCTGAGTTTCTCCAAGACCTGCTACAGTTCTCCAGATAAGAATGACCTGACAAAACAAACTGCTTTCCTCTTTAACTCTTACCTAAGTGCTACTGCATCTGTGTAAAACAAAAAATCAATATATATATATATATATATAAGAAAACTCAAAAACATGTTGTCGTAAATAAGTCCAGCTGTTTCGCTGCCTGCAGCCAAAGATTTAATTTGAATGCTTAAATTTATAAAATAAAAATCAAACACTGTTCTGAAGTCCTGCTTTTAAATACTCTTCAGAGTTGACCTGAAATCATTTCAACTAATTTAAGAGGTACATTAAATAACAACCAGATCATTTTGAGTACACATATGTCAAAATCAGCAGTTAGTATTTATGAGTTGTACAACAACTGCATTCTGACCAAATCCTCCAATAAAAATAGTGCCATAAAATTTACAGTGACATCGATATGCTTGAATTGTAGCCATGGGCAGCAGCCAACATGAATTTTTCCTGTCATGATGGTACACAGGTCAAAGTGCACACACCCTCTAGGGTAGGGTCTCAGCCCGGTAAAAGTAACACACAGATGTTGGTGAGTGAGCAGCACCAGATGGGGATCCTGCATAAGCGGGATGTTTTTTCATTTGACTCCACTGAGACACACAGAAGAAAACTGGCTCCTTCAGGCCTGCTTCTGGGCCTAAAAGCTGAGAATTCAGCTAAAGATCTTTGACTCTCTAGCCTACCTGATCCAGCCCCTCCCAATCCCACATCTGTGGGTTGGCCAAACGTTTTGTTCTGTCTCAGTGAATGGTGCTATTTTAAAAAGGAACACTTTCTTGCTATCATAGAAATGAGCAGTTAAGACACCCCTAAATGCATTCATTTAGTTCCTATGTAAATACTTCTCCATACAGCTTACTTTGGATGTGTTGTTATAAAGCATGTCTGAAATGATCAGAAGTCTATGAAGTGAGCAAACCCCTAAGCAGAAATTAAATCCTCTCTAGAGTTGTAATCACTGGCACCTGCCTGAACGACCAGATTTGACATCTACTCCAAGGGAGGGAGCCAGATATGAGACCCTTTGTTGAGCCTGGCAGAAAATTCCGTATTTCTGATACTTGGAGTGACTCTCAGTGTCTAAAAATCCTACTGAAGACATTGCTGCATTAGCTACCAACTCTTCTGATGAATATGAAAGGGCATTTAATGTAAACAATATTTCTAGATAACCAACTGATCACATTACCCATCCTTTTTTTCCCAGCCTTCTTCAATGTGACACATTTAACTTTGGCTACTATCAAAAAGAAATGTAGTACTTGATATTTTTCTTAATATAAGTACATTTAAATAATTAAAAAAGTATCAACACGTAAGTAAAAGTCTGAACATCAAGATACATAAATATCTAGGGACTTCCTGTGGGAATACAGTAGTTAAAATTTACCCAAAGCTGTAGCTGCTTCTCAAATAACAACTACACAAAAGTCCAAAAGAAAAGTTAAATAAAACAGAAGAGGATATTTCTTTCAATTTTCAAAGCAAGAAAGAAGCAAGCTCAAATATATACGTGTGCATATACAGTGTGTATATATATACTCAAATATAGTGTATATATGTATAATAGAGTATATATACACACACTACATACACACACGCACAATCAACCAAATGCTAATATGCATTTTGCAATATATAAGGTGCAGAAAAGAAAATTAAGAATTAAATGCCAAACAGGATGAGTTGCATCTCCCTCCCCCGAAAATACTCCACTCTTTGGAATAAACAACTTGGTTAAAAAGTTAAGTCAAGGGTATAAAAATCTTTCTTTTATTCACAGCATGGCTAAATCAGAAGCATTCACAGTTTCCCTCTGGGAATCTTCCTGTTTGCTTTGCAAGGTGTCCACATGGTGGTGGTCAACAGGACACCCTCAAGTTGTGTCAGGTTAAGAAAAAAACTTTGCGTAGGGCCAACAGCGATAGCAATCTGCTTGCGCTTCAAAAGCGCAGGAGGCTCAGAGGCCCCAGCCTGGAGAGAGATCACAGATGATGAACGAGCTCACACCCAGGCCTTGGCCCAGCTCAGCCCAGGCTGGTTTCTCCGAAACAGAAGGCTCGGACCCTGAAGAGGGCCCTCCTGGACCATGTCCAACCGCGCGGCCTGAAGGACACAAGGATGCCGCTCCGGCCAGGGGCCTCCTGACCGCCCTCAATAGGGCCGCCACACGGCCTCCTCCAGGCGCGCGGCGGGCGCCATGTTGGTGGGGGAGTTGCTGTGGCTGCCCTCGGCTTCCACCACGTCGCTCTGGTTCGGGAGGCTGGGGTTGAGCAGCGCCGAACCGGTGGAGGCGTTGGGGCAGGGCGGCAGGATTCAGCGCTCGCCGCCCCCCATCGAGAACTGGTAGGAGCCGGCTGAGGTGCGGTAGTACAGGTGGTAGGAGGGCGAGCTGGCCTGGAAAGGGCCGCCTTGTGCCTGCGACGAGCCGGGGTAGGGTGGCGGCAGGTACGTGTGGTAGCGCGTGGCCGAGCTCATGGCCGACATGCCGATGCCGATGCCAGACGTGACCGGCGTCGGGGAGTAGGTGAAGGCGCCAGGGTAGTGCATGCGGGGGTCCGAGATGGAGGGCAGCGCGGGGAACTGGCGTGGGTCTCCGAAGGCGGTCAGGTCCGGAGCTGCTGTAGGCGGGCG